ACAGTAGCTTCCAAACAAGCCACACGTGCCCCTTTCACTGTTCCATCCCCAATGCCTGGTGCTGTCATGCGGTTCTGAATGCCATGAGAAATGCCATAGCCAATTGCTCATGTGCTGTTCTTTGTGCTGCTCCCGTATAATTACCTAATCGCTGTATGGTAAAATGGACATAATTATTATCATTATTATTTTTCATATCAACACTTTCGTTTGAAGTTCCTGGAAACAGGACAGCAATCATCCGGTATTCTCAAATCCCGTTATCACTCGATCAGCCAATTTATATTCATCAGGAACTATATATATGCCAATTTACATCAATGTAAGGTGGCTCTGGACCCCAGGAAATGCATCAAGTTGTGTTATTTTCGTAAATTGAGTTGTTAATTGTTTTCAATCAATTTTCAATACAAGAAAACAAACAAAAATGTCACAATAGTGCATGCCCCTCGAGAGCATACGAATACTGTGTCTCTAAAAGTTGTGTATTCCCACACCCCCAAGAGGTCGGCTCTAATTGCCCGAGGGAAAAAGGAGTATGTTCTTTGTGACAAGGCAGTAACTCCTATTGACAAAACTGATGCTTGCACCACTTTGACATGCAAAACATATGAAATCATTTAATGCTACCACATTTCTCAAAATACATTTGGAAACTTCCGTGTTGACATCAGCTCGCAAAAAACGCGTTTCGCCTTGATACAATTTCAGTTAACAATGTCACTTGAGGTTAAACTCAACATACATTCGAACAGTATTTACAATGGAACCCCTCAGTCTTGGTCCCTGGCAGATAAAACAATCTGCATTGGCCTCAGCTCTGCTCAACTTTAAGAATCAAATTTTCATCACAGACTGGAGCAACTATTATGACAGCATAACATCATTAACCTTAGATCACAAACAAGTAAAACAAAATTTCCTTTTTTTTCTCTCTTTCTATAACGACATGAGCTACTTCAATGGCAATTTATCAAAACAGAACTTGATATCCGCTGTAGTGGGGTTTCCACTTAAGCAGCATAGTTCCATTATCAAGAATTAATTCATACCAAAATAACAAATCAAAAATATTTGTCAGCTCTTCCCGTGAGTTACCAAAACGCTAATATACAGCATCTTTAAATTTAGTCATAATGTAACTTAATACAATGTGAAAAACACAAATCAAAAACAAAACATACTGTGGGTAACAATGAAAGCTCTTAATGACATCAGCTGTGTCTTCTAATCATGTACAGCGTCTCAACAAAATTGGCATTGTTTGAAATACGAATACAGTATCTCAGTATCGACAAATACTTGGTCAGGGTGTTAGTCTTTGTTGACTTTGTCCTGTGGACCAATAGCCATCCTCTAGGGTAGTAATTAGAAAATTCTAACTCGAATGTACCACATTTCCTGTAAGGTACCACCAATAGGTCTCATAACCTATTCCAGTTATCTGTTTGGTCTTTGCAAATATCTTTATGTAGTAATTAAATAAAACAAACAAAGCAAACCAATGTGTGAAAGGAATTGGAGTATCTGACAAAATACTGCTACGTCTAACCCTGTGTAGTGCACACAGACGCATCTCTGAGCACAAGTTAGTTTAGTTAGTTTAGTTAATTGTTTATTGAACATACAATACAACAACAATTGACAAAAGGCAAACAAAATTACAAAAGGAGAAATAAAAATAAAAAGTAAATAAAACAAACAACATCATCGTTATATGCTCAAAGGAGTAGGAAGAAGTATACAACTTATCAAGTCCTACCCCTGCATTATAAATCTTGCATTTCTTGAATATATTTAATGAGATGATCAAAATCCAAAACAAGAACACACCGTTATATTACTATATTTTATAAGTATGTCGAATTTATCTTCTTAACTTTGATTTTTGTAGTTTGTTTGTACTAATCTTTTAAATTTGTTTTTGAACTCGTCCAGCGATTTACTCATTTTCAGATCCGTTTCAAGCTTGTTCCACAGATTGACTCCTATTACTGATACACACCTTTGCTTGATGTTTGTTCTTGTTCTGGATTTTTTATATTGATTGATACCTACAAGAGAAGTCATGAAGCCACAAATGATCCTGGACTACAACTCCACCAAAGGGGGACTTG